CACTCGAAAAGCTTGTAAATCACTCGCCTTCGGCTCGTGATTTACAAGCTTTTCTCGTGTTCTCCCAACATCCCGCGTGGGTTATCACGCCGGTAAACCCATAGAAAGTGTGGTCTATTGCTTAAATAACCTATCACAAGCATCTTTTAGAAGACACTCAATTCACAACTCAATAAATATAGTACCACAAGTGAAGAGTAAAACAATATGTTTTTCGTCTCTCACCTATATTTCGGCCGTGTTAAACGGCCTTTATCAGGGTGAATGGCCGTTACAAGCATCACACACCATTATTACATGATAACGAACAAATTTGAAAACTTGCACGCGCTACAAAGGAAGATATATATAGTAATGTATATATATAGTTGGTACGCTGATTAACTGACTGGAATTACGATTCCGTGTGTGTTACCATCACTATTACTGACCTTGTGATCTGTTTCCAGTTGTTTAATAATTTGATCCCACTGTTGTTCAGCATAGTTGACTCTGTAGAAGCCAGTGTGACCTGCATTTCCTTTGAGCCAGCCACTACCGTCCCACTCAATTTCAGCTAATAACAGTTAGGGTAGCAAGATACACCAAAGTAGGTTTTTCGTAACAGGATTAACTGAACTGATATATCATCATGGATAAAGGAAAAGATCATTAATTTATGACTTGCATGCAGAGAAATACATGCATTCATATATATTTTTACCAAAATAGGTTTTCTTGGTGCAAGTACTTCTCCTATGCGACCACGTAAATCTTAGCATTTCAGAAGGGGTGCTTTTCGCTACTCGACCGTGGAAACTTTTCCTTATAAAATATTGCAACATTTTTTTCTTAATTAATAATGAAAACCCATTTCTCCACCACTACCTGTTTATGGCTAGTTCCAGCAAAATTTCCTCTTATTTAGAGTTACTTATTTTTACAACAACTATTTTGATTGACGTTCAAGTTTATAATTATATCGAAAATACCAACGGAAACTGAAATTACTAAATGCTGAGCACGGTAAACATTAACGGAGGTGAGTTTCATACCTGACGTCATGTCTAGAAGCTTGGATGTAGGCTCGGATTTACCTCCCGTGACGTATGTAAATGGGACGACCCAGTTATAACTGAAAAAAAAACGTAAACGTGTTACAGGTCAAAAATAAATGCAGTTTGATTTACTTTTTCTAATTTGTAAGGTTAGGAGGCGAAGGATTGTGAGAATTTTCCTCGGGCTAAAAATTTAACCTGAATTTAAATTTGATCGGCAACTTACATATTATACGTCAGATGTTATTTGTAAAATACCGTAGGGCTGCAGGTAGTAGGGGGCGCCATTCACCTGAATATCCTAAATTAAGTTAACCTAAACGATAGATTGGAGTATAACTATAAATAATGGTGATGGTGTAAGTGTTTAATGATGGAATGTTCTATGATCGAGTTAATGGCATCAAGAAAATTAAACTTTGCTAAAAATGGGATGCTTTGTTTTTTTTTTTTTAAAAACTTGAACTCTGGTTAGTTTTTCCAAAAAAAAATTGTATAGAAACCGTGCCGTCTCGGGGTTGCCTAGAACTATGCAAAATGAAAAAGAGCTCCTGCAATCGACAGTCTGGTGATGACGATGATGATGATATGTTTTTATATGTTGCTGCCACGGAAAAGCTGGCATACTAGTCGAGGCGAATGGCGAAGGAACAAGATACTGCAGAAAATTGTTTTTCAGGAAAATTTGATAACGAGGTACAAATATTTCTTCTAAAGAGATCGAAAAACAGATCAGTTGGATTTGCGGAGCAGCATGAGCTATTTCCGATCCGCGGCTCGAACGCGCATTGCCAAAAGGGGTACGTGGTATGTACTGGTAACTGCCAACATTGTGCCAATGATGCCATATTTGCACTTGAGAAAGGATCTTGGACGAGAGGGCTTATGGTATATGTACTACATAGAGGGAAAAATGACAGCGTTACATTGATATTTACTTGAATGGGTTCTTGTATTTCGAGGTTAAATTTGCATTTCGGTCGTAAAGAAACCTCTCCTGTGATACAGTATATGTATTTCCACTTTTCTTGGTAACAGTTAACACGGGGTACCCCATCTGCAGTGTCCAGGTGTCCATCAATTGCTTGACACGTTTACAGCTGCCCTGCGCACAACTTTCCTACAAAGAATTATGATACGTTACATTAAAAGGTGTCGGAGTGTATCCCTGGCTATAAATCTTCAAATAAGCCTATAAGAACTTTTTTAATCTGTGCATCGTGGAAAAAATCGCCAAAACATTTAACCTGAGCAAGCAAAAATAAAGAGACATGGTAAACGATTTGTTGAGGCCACGTTTGCATCCATGTCCAACTGACGTAATTGCAAGTACCTTGAGTACACTCGTTTTAAAATGACGAGCCTCATCGGTAGCTCCATAAGTATGTTTACGCCTTTTCACATTCCTGAGCTTTGCATTTTTATTTCATTGATGAAAGACTGCATTTAACGTTTAGAGACCTAGCTTTCGATTGTATTTCGAGTAAGGGAATCAAAACACTTATTTAGTGCTTTTGACAATCTGGATTTCACGCCGATCTTATCTGTCAGCTGGCCCCGGTTCTTCATGGAGGCACCTAGTCAATATCAAGATTTTGCATGCCTTCTGAGGTCATAGCTGGCCCCCTCTTACACTCGACGTCAAATCTGTTAGGTCACTAATGACTCACTGTGATCACGTTAGGATTGCAAAATATAAAAATGAGTGAAAGATATCTGGGTTGGTAGTAATAACTCAATTTACTATAGCTTGATCTAAAAGTGTTCTTAGCCTTTTCAGTGTATGTGGATAAATTACAGTGTAATAACAGTTTGTTAAAGATTCAATCTATTGATATATACTCAGGTGTCGGTTTTGTAATTCACAAATAACGAAACTACGAGAAACAAATACCTGCCTGAATACTCACCTCTTCAAAAGCATCCCACAAATCATTTGTCACTGCATTTCCATACCGATATTTGTTGAGGTAACGCTAAAAATTAAGTGGGCGTTTATTAGTCAAAGAAAACACTGAGAATAAGCAAAGATCAACCTCTCACGAAACAGATTCAAAGCTGAGAACTTGGAACGCCTATAGGAATTTTAAACGATTAGACGTCTGATATAAGGCCTACAGATTAGCAGAGATTGAAAACCTTAAAATGTTTAGAATGTTACGGAGTATTTTGGAACGGCTTAATTATTATGCTACTCAGTGTTTAATAAACTTTTAAGGACTCTTTTAAAGGTCTGAGCAGGAAATGTTTGGGTTATTTTTTAGAGTAACTCAGAATAATAGTGAATGTACAACACTATCGAAATGACCTTTTGACGGACTTATTCACACTAGTTCACATGCAATTTAGGCACTCTCAAACTCGAAGCTTAAATCTAAATCCATCAACCAAGGATATATACCTACCGTTAATCCTTTCTGAAAGACACTTTTACCGAGAAAATGTTGAAGCATGCGAATTACTGATGATCCCTGACAATTAATAAAATATAAAACATCACGTCGAGAGAAGTAATGGTGAGGATTGTAGTATTCGTGGTTCTGGTGGTGGTATAGTATAATCAAGTATTCGTATCGGTTGACTTGCGATAGGAATAATTATGCAGTGATTTGCATTAGTAGTATAGCAGGGACCCAACAAATCCATTCTGGGAAATGGGATCTAAATAGTATGAGGTGAAAAAGAATCCTTTAATGACAAAAAATAAATAAAAATAAAAAAATAAATAAAATTCACGCTTTCTTGCGCAAGCCAAACTTCCTCATCAAAATTGACAGATAGATGAGAATCACACTGAGCAAAAATTACCAACTGTTTCTAAGTAAAGTTTGGGGTAATGGTCAAATAAACATCCAATACAAGAAGCGGAAGATTCAAATAACAACCAACTGACCTTGTTGTATGAGATATAATCAAATATCTCATTGATTTCATCCGGATGATTCACAGGAACCCTGATTGGGTGAGAATTCGCCAAACCATCCAGTGTGAATGCCAACATCATGTCTATAACTACAAATTGGTCTAGCTGAAGGAAAAGAACAAAAACGTCCTCTGCAAACCATTCTCTTTACTAACTACTGTAGTTTCTATTCTCTATGATTCAACCCTCGAGCGTACAAGGGGGGTGGCTACCACCCGCCTCTTAGGTTTTTCTAAGATTTTTCCTAGACGATAGAACATCAGCACCTGACGTTTTCAGTAGCTGTTCGTCTATTCCCCGCTTTTTTTTGCAGTCAAGTTTAGTGATGGACAGTTACTATGGTTGCAAGATATAGCGTCGTAATAAGAAGGTGGTGAAGCCATTTTTGCCGGAGAGAAAAAGCAAGTTATTTTTTACTTCTTTCAACAATAAAAGTGGGGCTTGCAGATAAAGTGGTGCAAAGCACTTAGTTGTGTGTTATTTTACATGTCAAGCTCAAAAAATTACCAGTTCACGCGGTTTTTCCCTGATTTCTAATTCTTGGTAAAATCCAAGTTGGCGACCCTGTTTGGTGACGTCACAGGCCTCCAGCAGCCCCACCACCCTTAAAATATACCTCATCTTGTTGAGAAGATCAAAGGCTTTTCAGTGAAAGTAAAATCGTTTCGAAATACTGCAACATATCAACCACCACACCCCCCCCCCTCGTGCCACGGCGGGGGGTATGAATTTGCGTGTACGTCCGAGAGTTAAGTGGATTGTTGCTATGTAGGGACGGGTTATTTTACCAGATTACCACAGCCCGATTTCAGTTGCCTTTGCTAGGTGGTAATTATTGTACAGTTTCAGGCACAAAGCGCAATTTTTCTATAATCAGTTTATCATCGTGAATCAGTCCTGCTTATCGGTCGTGAACCTCATTTCTAATGGTAACTTATTTACAAGTACTGTTTCTTTGTTTTAATCGTTTTTCTGTACATTGGGTTATTTAGAAACATCTTTGGAAGCTTGCTATTTCCAAGACGTTTATAACTGTTTTAATGATAACCCCGGCCCGTCCCTTCCGTTATCAAAAGGGAACCACTTTAAACTTGTTAGAATTTTATGTGCATCTTTAATTGCAGTAACTGTTTAATGCCATTTTGGAGACATCGGTTACCATTTTCCACTCAGGTTCTATTTCATGGACTCCATAAAATTCGACAAAGCTGGCAAATCCTTCGTTCAGCCAAAGATCATCCCACCAAGCCATAGTAACCAAGTTGCCAAACCACTGTAGAAAGAAAATGACGTGGTTTAATCATGAATACAAGTTATATGAAAGTGGCATGCTCATGGGTGATGTACACAAGAGTCATAAAGCCCAAACTGAAACCAAAATTAAACGAAGGACAGTCATATGCACGATACATACCAGCTCTACGAAATAAGCAATTTTGAACTACTTTTCTTTTGCTGCCGAAAGGTTTTACCATTTGACATTGTTATACATTACATTCGCCTGTAAAACGAGCTTTGGGTTTCACTTGACGCAGCCGTCCACTCAAGTCGTTCACTGAAATTTGGGCTACTACTTAACTGAACCGTCTTAGAGACTTACAAAAAGTTTTGAAGAAACTGTGAAACGTAAATAATCGAGAGAATGGCAATGTTTAGCTAAATGTTTCAAGGGTGCTCCCTCTTCTTCAGCGGATTAAAAGCAATTGTTACTGTTTAAAACAACTGAGCAAGATGGAGCACCATTGACACGCCTGGTTTTCCTACTTTTTAAACACATATTTTGATACACTTTGCCATTCCGTCTTAGAGCATAACAAGTTTGTTTTGCCGTGATTTAGAAGTATCTTCTGCAGCAAAAGAAGAACAGTGAGACTTCTCCTTGACAGTAAGTCAAGAGTGAAAAAGCATACCTGATGAGCAAGTTCGTGTGATAAAATGCCAGCTGTGCGCTGCTTATTAGCTTCTGACGAAGCGTTAGGTTTGTAAAGCAAGGCTGCCTCTCGATACATTATTATTCCCCAGTTCTCCATGCCACTGAAGGCAAAGTCAGGAAGGGCAACCATATCTGCAAAAACATAATACGAAGCCATATGAAAAAAGTTCTTAAAACTATAGAAGAGGAGAGGCCGTTTTGGAACTCAACCAATAAGAGCGCTGCATTTTGGACAACTGGCCAAAATGGACCAAATTAAAAGGCAGAGTTTTCATCACATTAGTAGATAACTGACAGGTGCCGGATTTTAACTGACCCTGATTTTAGGCGTCACGCAAAATGGAAGTTATGTTCAAAATTAGATACTTTTGAGAATCTGTTAGTGAGTAACTTTTAAACAAAATGATAAACTCATGCATTTGAGTCAATAAGCAGTTCATGACTGAGTCACGGAGGAAGTATTTTACGATCCACTTAATGTTTGCTTCTTTCGGAAGTAATATCCTTGCAGACACAAATGTGGTTAAAAGTACAAGTATGCACTGTGTTACTACTAAGGATAATGGCTATAAAAACAATGCCAAGCACCATAAGGAGTGTTTTGTGAAAAATTCTACCATCTCAATTCTTACTGTCCTCTCGTTTTTTCCGGTATTTTCTTTCCCCTTCAACGCGTTATATCTTTTTGTTAACTTTTTGTTTTTATTTTGTTTTTGCTTTTGCGCCCGATTCAGAAGTATCAGGAATAGAACAATATAACAAAATGTGCGTGTATGCTGAAGAGGTTATATTAGAAGCAGCTTTGCACTGGCATGATCAGCACCCAGATTGTGAGGATTAAATACTCTTTCCGGTCAATACTCACTCTTTCCGGTCAATACGAACACCTTGCAAGCTTTTTTTTCTAGACAGTCGCGTCAGGTACAAAAAACATTCAAACCTCTCGATTTCTGCTATGATACGGTCGCTCAATGTACCTCATGATACGAAAGGCGACGCAGCTACGTACCAAGCATTTGGGTGCCAACAAACACGGATAGTTATAAGAGCTGAACCTGTTTATCGAATGTCTAAAGAGTACAACTTAATGACACAGGAACGCTTACCAGCTTTAGGTAGAGGGTAGGTAATATTGAAATACTCCTCCATGTAATCTAACATTATGACTGCATTCTCTTTGGCATATTCAACTTGATCAATTTTGTCTCGTGGAGCATAGAACGTCATCTACGAATTAAATGATCTAACTCATCAACTCATCAACAAAAAAATCATGCTAACTAGAATACCTTGACAAGTAAAATATAAGATACTATAATAAGGTACAAATCAACAGGTATATTTTTCTGATTTTTTGGACAGTTTTCACTTTTCCAGCAGTCTTACGAAAGGCATGGTAACTGCATGCTTACAATCTTCTATAAACAAGCGGTTAGTGAAATATATCTTATCTTATCTCATTAACATAACTAACATGTTATTTTATCGTGCTTACCTTTGTTCCACGTCCAGTAGTTTTAGTAGTCTTATCGAAGTCGCACACCACAAAAGCTAATAGGTAAGTGGACATTCGTGGAGTTTTTTCAAAATGATCAAACTGCCAGCCATACTTTATCTCAGTACTCTTAATGGGCATGTTCGCAATGGAGATCAACTTTGGATCGTGTACCAAAGTAAAAGTAAATGTTGCTTTTAGAGCTGGTTCGTCAAAGCAAGGAAATGTTCTTCGTGCATCCGTAGGTTGAAACTGTGTAGCTGCCATAGTTCTACAATGAAAATGCCACAAATTCAGTTGCTTTCAACTAATAGGTCATTTTACAGTCAGTGTGTGCTCAGTGTCATGACGTTTGAACAAAAGCGATCTAAAGGTGACCTTGTTACAAACTTTCTCGTTTTTAATAATGTAAATGCATGATTATCTTCATCTAGCATGAGAATAACACAATTTGCACATGAAATGCAGCACTTCCAGCCTCACCTATTTATCTATCTGTCCAGAGCCCAAGCACACAGCTGTAAAATGGCCTATTAGTTGAACCTGCAAGTGCTAATCATGATTAAATAATATTCTATGACAGATTCTTTCAAGTGTTGGCAAAAAACATTAATTCCTTCTAGACGCAAATTTCGGGCGCCCTTATTCTGGCCACATTTTTCACTTTCCTATAAACAAGTGCACATCGTGTTCACTTTTCGGCTTTGCATCAAACTGAAGGGGTTAAACAAAAGTATTGTGACCCAATGACAATATGCAAGTTCCTGGACGTGACAACAAGACCCTGTTTCTTAAAAGCAATGGCAACACAATAAATTCTTTCACGGTTTTTTTCAAGTTTTGATTAAGACCAGTTAGTAATTATCCACTGACTTTGCCAGAAGGAGTGTCATAAAATTAGAAAACTTACCAAGTTTAACGGTGATACGTGCCGAACAACGAGCCAAGATATTGCTCCAAAAAGTCGAGAAATTTGGCAGACGTTTGTATGGTGTGGGAATAAACTTATTTCCCACCATACAAACGTCTGTAAAATTCGGCGTTTTTGCGGAACCATATCTTCTTTAGTTTTCCACAAATCGTGTTCAAACTAAATGGCATCTTAACTTATTTCAAGGCGTTCTTTTTAGCCATGTTAGCGTATTGTGCCTAACCGTGGTCCCAGTCAAAAGTTTTAAAAAAGCGTGGAAGGGTTTATGAAATTGACTTACACTTCTGTCCCATCTTCTCTTGTATATGTACTCTTGTACAATCCAGCGAGACCATCACCCACCTCTGCCCTAAATTTCATCTTGATCTTGTATTGTTGGCCTTTCTCCAAAGCGGAGGTCAAAACTATGACATAAAACTGGTTCTTTTCAAACCAAAAGTGTCTCTGTATTCCAAGTGGAGCTGGGAAATGAAAAATAAAATCATTACAAAAGAAAATTGTATTTAAGTGTTTTTAAAATCAATTTATGACCGATTGTCACCGATATGTCCTCTGAAATTAAAAGAGAGAAGAAAGCAACTTAGCATAAACCTCGTCTTCCTTAATGGTCTTCGTTTGGGTTTTTACATAAGGTTACAAAGAAACATTTATTTCAAATATAGGGAACATACGATCAAAGACAGTGGGAGAACTTTTAATTTACCCCCGCTTGAAGCCTTCTCCACAGTAGGAGACTGCGTTATATTCATCTTATTGACATGAACCAGTACATTCTCAGTTGGCTTTGTTACGTTCACCAGAATTGATACATCTCCAAAGAACACCAGCTTCTTAAGATCAATATAAAGAACCACGTCATAGTGATCAGGAACAATGTTGTCTGGAAGACGAACATTCCACCACGCTTCAGTACCAGGAGTAGTAGGAGCAGGAGCAGAAGTTGCTACAACAACAGACTTTTTACCGCCATCTTCTTTTCCTCTACGCCCTGTAAAAAATTAATATCGTTGAACATTTTTTAACATTTTCGAGGAATGCCCTGTGTTTTTTTTCATATGGTTGTGGCTATTCGAAACACTTTATGGCCCGGTGGAACACCTACTATGAATAAATTCATAAGGCAAAATTTTTGCTTCTGCTACATCTTTTAAAACGCTTATATCTCGGCTGTTTTAGAGGTGATTTGGATACAATTTTACAGAGACATTGTGAAATGATGGAAGTTTATGAGGGTTGTTTTATTTGGTAGATCGCGCTTTACAGCGAGTTTTAAGCAACAGTTGTACCAAATTGGGAAATTATGATTTTGGGTCCATGTTTGCGGAAAGGATAGAAGACAGAACTCCGCGATTTTATAAAGAAATGACGGTCAAAACCTTTAGTGTGTTTTGTATTGGGCAGAGTTTGCAATTTAAAGTTTGCCAGCAAGATATAATCGCTTAAACGAACAAAATCTGTCATCCCTGAGACTAACGCCTTATATCTTTTCATAAAAGCGCTCCTTTAGAATTCCGCTCAGTACAGAAGACACTACAGTTTACCAAGTTTACCCCTCTGCGGTACCAGCTCGTGATGTTTTGTATCTGCGCTGAATTCTTGGACACAAAATTGTCGAAAAGTCAAATTTTGAGCCTCCCGAAGGTGTTTCGACTAAGGCGTAAGTTCCAAGCAAGATATGTAATTATGGTAATTATGGTTACATTCCACGCTTTAATTTTGTTTATGAGCTGCAGTGTTTAATTCAACCATTTTTGAGGCGAATGACAAAAGACCTTACGAAGAGTTTTGGTATTAAATTTGGTTGAAATTTCTAAAGATTTCCTTATTTAAAAAAAAATCACTAAAACAGCCCGTTTGTAAAATCGCAGTAAATGAATGAAGGAAATCTAGGGGAAATCGATTTTGGTTCGAGTTAGTGCGAGGGTCGAGTTACCGAGGGTTCGGGTTATCGGTAGTCGATTGTACCTGCAAGTATTTCTCGGACGTTTTCTTACTTGAATGGTGAACTGAGGGTATACTTTTCCAGGGATGGATCTAGGATTAAAAGGGCAGTTTATGATACTGCTATCATGAGAATTGTCCCACTGACACAATGAATATGGACACAAAACATCAATTGATGGATGTTCGTTCACTTGACTGAAATTGCGACAAGCTATCGATTTCACTATTTTAGCCTAGGGCTGGGCTATATGGCTTATATAAGACAAAACGCAAGTGAAATTATTCCCTAATTTCACGAGTATACCATTTGATTACCTATTAATAACATGGGTGACGAATTACGTTATCAATCTTCGGTTTTTGACATGTTTATCCTGGATCGAGAACTCCCTCTCTCGAACGTTTAGAGCTTAAATTTGGCTTAAGTTCAGAATTTGTCATCAAAATACCTGTTAGAATCCTTCTTGATGTGCTCTTTCGTGTGTTCAGGTTTTTTAAGGCGTCTTTTTATGCCCTGGCATCTTCGTTCATGACATTTTGAAACTTTGTCGCCATCTTGACACTGACGTACGGAAGGTTGCCATGGCAATTTTGTAATTTCAAATTATCGCTGAAATTTTGAGCCAAAATTAAGGTTTAATTCGTCACCTATGATAGGGAACTTAAGAATCACGACAACGACACGACGACCGGAAGTGAGTTACAGTGTACTACATACACAAGCGCGACCAGTAAATTTCGTCGTCGTGGTGTCGTCGACGACGCGCCAAGCAAAGTAGAACCACGTCGTCCTGCAATCCACAAGCTTCGGCAGATATAAATCCACTGTTGTAAGCGATTTTTGAATTCCTTCTCATTTTCTTATCCTCGTAAATCCAGGTGTCGTTCTTTTTTCCTCCTAACAAGCGATGTTGATTGAAAATTCGACTAGTGAATTGTTTTTACTTCGAAGAATGACAACAGCTGTGGCCGGGCCGAGCGAGCGAACTCGTAAGTGATAAATTTATTTGTACGTATTTAGGTAAGGCAAATAATTTATCATTAATATAGAGGAAATAAACTTTATATGGAAAACGGATATCACATCAGAATGTCTCTTTTCCCAAATCTAAACTCTTACAGACACTCGGACTCGGTCATCTCATTCAGGTTGAAAGTTGAATAATCTTCGTACGGAAAGGAGTTGTTTTTCCACTCGAAAAGGTCAGACAACACAAAAATTAAAATTCTTCATCGTCAATGAAATTAGACGTCCGGCTTAAAAAATAAGATCTTGCTTTGTCGCGAACGAATATCACAGTTTTACATTTGTGTTTACATTTAGTGTCGTCGTCGTCGACCTACCGACCCGACTGCATCTCAAGTTTCCTTTTTCCCGCCGAAACTGACGTTCTCGTTCCAGTCTTTTCCCAGTCGACAGACGTCGTCGTCGTGCACTTCGTCGTGGTTCTTAAGTTCCCTATTATACTCTGAAGCCCTAATAATTTCGAAAAGATTCAAGTTCCCCTAAGGTGACCGAACAACTACAAATTTGATAGCGCCGCTCAGAATGCATTTTTATAGATCTCTGGATAGCCTAAAAAGAGTTTTCATTGTATTAAGGAGGAAACCGTCATTAGGTGGCCCTTGCTTTTATATACTTAGAGTACAAACAAAATTCATCCCGTTTTTATTAGGACCGACTAGCACAAAATCATATACTCTGTTTAGGACAGACTCGCGCCAAATTATGTATACACACTGTTTTAAGACAGAGAGGTCAAAAACCATACCCTGTCCAGCGGCACACCCCCGTATAGGCTATATAAGGGAGTACCTCCTGGGTTTCCTTAGACTGTTCACAGTCCCCTATTTTTCCGTGAGATCGTCGAGATATGTCGCGTCTTTCTTTTCATGGCGGTCATCTTGATTTTCAAATGTATCGAGGGGGCGGGCGTCGGGGATTATACATGTAGCTCTAGGGGGAGGGAGGCACTTCCTCAAAAACCGCCCCACGCCCCCTAAGTAGTTTTGACACTCATCCAAGATGGCAGCCCGTAACGCATAGAGCTCGATCTCAACGATCTTACGGGAAAATAGGGGACAGTGAACAGTCTAGGGTTTTCTCAAAACGAGACAGTCAAATTTTCTGAATGTTTGGTCTGGATGTTTTAGTTCAATTCTTAAACACACGACCCCACAAGCTTTTATAGCTTTAAAAATTATCGTGTTTAAATAAAGATTATGTATGTGTGTCGCTTGACGAGTGTGACTATCGGTAAACAAGATTGATTTTCTTGGTGATTGACTAATTGATATGAGGTCATGAACCAGTCATTCAAACTTCATTTGATTTAGGTTTTTAAAAATTCAACCCCGCGGGTCATTATTGGTGATCAAATTCGCCCCCTCCCGGTCCCCCAACAAAAATATGATTGTACTAGCCATCAAATTCCCGCGCCTTTAGAGAACATCGTCGTATCAACCATACAAATTGTCTAGATTTGTTGGTCAACTTGTTTGTCGATATCTCCATCATTTTGATTCTTGTTCACAAGGGTAGTTTACTTACTTGCTTGGTTGTTTGCTTTTCAGCTTCTCGCATAGTTATGTAGATAAGACCTTCAAATCTTAAATGACTGTTATTCATCAGCGCTACAGCTAATCCCAAATTTACATTCTCCGGACGAATGTTGTGCAAAAACGCTTTGAGACATATGATTAGCAAAACAGCCGCAACACATGTAACTGCTGCTATCTTGAGCTTCTCTGCCTTCTCTACTGTGTCGAAAACACCTTTGCAGTAGAGTCAGCAGAGTCGTATGTCTGAAACACAAATTGAAGGTCACTAGCAAATCCTTTTACAACTAGCAGTAGTGTGAAGACGAATTCGTTTAACCGAGGCTGCCTGGATCTAAAGCTACACATCTAACTAAACAAAAGTAGGCCACCAGATCACCTAAAAGCCATACCTTTAGGGGTGCGCTTCGTTCGTTCAGCTCCAAGAAGTGCTCCCAATACAATGACCAAGATCAGTAACACCAATATAACAATGGCAGCTATAATAAAGGTGCGCTTGTTGTAGAAACTACTCGACGTTGCGCTGCTGCTTTTTTTGTCTTCAGCCTTCACTTGCGGGATCTCGGTATCTTGCTTAAGAGGAACCTCTTCCATATTTCATTCTAGCTCTCCCAGTTTTTAATATCAAGAAGCCGACACTACAGCCGCCTGAATTTACTTTGTGAACGAGACCTGCGAGACGTCTGGGTCAGCCATCTGATCTTATAAAAGCGTACATGACAGGTGCACTGAAGCCTGACCTATCCATTATAGTATGTCCAGCGATCGTGATTCACTTTTACTCAATACGTAGTTTAGAAAGTTTTAATGTTGTTGAGTAAGTATTTTATGTTTAGGAAAGCTTGATATTATTTTGTACACAATTTATTATATCTTTCCTACCCCTTTTTTTCTCTATCTGGGAGTCTTTTCTGTAGCCTGCCAGCACGCAGGCTCAATTGTGCAAATTCGGGGAAAAATTTGGCAGCCGAACATGAGCAATCACTCAAGATGTGGGAAGGTGGGTGAGGGGTGGAAGTTGAGTTTTTGTCAGTTCCTTTTTTACTGTCGAATCGAATATTCTCCGCAGAAGCACTCCTGAAGGCAGCTCAAGATAAACATTCAAGGCACTACAAAAAGTTTGATCAACATCTGGACTATATTCTTCTGTATCCAGACAAGACCATATTGTCCAGGCCCTGCCTGGAAGTTCAGTACCTTTCACCCTAAACAAATATAAAGAAGAACTTAAAAAACCTTTTTCCAAGTTGTACTTTTGGTTGTGCAGGACCTCGGACATCCAAAGATATATTTCCTTGAAGAGGGGTCTGAGAGCAGTGAGCCAGGACCATCAAACCTTTCAGATACTGTCACGACAGCGTATTCAGGAGCGAACGAAAGAGATGGCTCCTCAAGAATGTCAAGCTGCCAAGTTAAGACAAGTCCGTCAACTAATGGCGCAATAACTAAGACTTCCTACCCCCAAGAGGAAACAGCACCTATCCAACTTACTTTAAGGCATTTCCCGTGGACGATTACAGCTGAGGTACTTTCGGGCACTGGAAGCCGGGGTAGTTTCCTCGATCCGCAATCTGGTTTGTTGCAAATGTGCTTAAATTGACAGTTTGAGCAGCAGCAGGTCCTACGGTTGAAGTCACGACAGATGGCTGCTTGTTGTGAGTGGCCGGGGCGTGATGGAAGGTTGGGGGCAGTGGAAGGGGAGCCATAGGTGTTGGAGAAGGTAGTGGCGGAGGAAGCTGTGGAGGGACCAAAAGGCTGAGGAGGCCAGAGTACGATAGCCATAGGCGTGGCAATGGAAGCAGCTGCAGTAGGGAAGGGTCTCAAAATATCGTTGTAGAGTTGTTCGTTAACTTTGCCCCAGGCCATTGAAACATTAGAGGCAGCTATGTAGCGAAAGGCTGTATCAGACATAAGCCAGGATGATTCTTTAAGCTTTCTACTAAACTTGCAAATTTGGGGCTGAAAGGCAAGGAGGTCTAAGGCGGGGTGTGGGCAAAGCGATAAAACTGAGCGTAGGAAGACGTTCCAGGCTTCGAGCCACTGAGGAGGATAGCCTGTCGACGATACGTCGTTTATTGCGCTGATAAGGGACAAAATCTAGGGTGGTGGCGTCTTGAGGGTATTTGTGGGGGTGAAGTGCTCCCATACAGGTCACCCTTTGCCCCATAGACTCTTGTTACTCCTTGAACCCGGAAATTAGACATCTAGAGAGGTCTTTCCACCTCTCCAGTACCCAAGGGGGATTATCACCTCCACTCACAACCTTGGGAGATTATCACCTCTCACTATCCTGGGGGATTATCACCCCCTAAAGAGGATTATCACCTTTCCGCTTATAGATTTTGGATTTTTACACCAGTATGTAGAGATAAGTGACCTGCTGTCCATATTTGGAGTACTTCATCCCTTACCCCTTTTCCCCACAATAATTCTGGACTAGCAATTTGCTTCTATCTAAAGGGTTATTGGTTGGGAGCGTTACCTAACGATTTACAAGACAAGGACCGACGTGAAAGATAACGCTGCTACTAATGAAGTCAAAGACATGATCTTTATTTGGTTAAGTTTCCCTGTGTCTTTACTCTTTAAATTCTCTGACAGTCTGGCCCTAAAAAGGAGGTGCATCGTGAGAAAAAATAAAAATAAAATTAAAAAAAATATATATATCATAGTAATGAAAAGGACAACTGAAACGTGAACATCAAGCAAGACTAAAACGCATTCCCTCCAGGCAAAACAGACCTTTTGCAGTCATAACACCTGAAAAAAAAAAGCCTACATCATAAAGGCAACACTGTGAAAAGTGAACTTGAAACTTAGAAAGGTTTCAATATCGCTTAAACTTTTGTGATCTTTAAGGTGTTGTAGGTTTGAAAACGCTTGTCACACACAACGTACAAAACTGTTTAACGGAAAATGCCTCAGTTATAAACAAATTAATAATACTTGGTTTAGTGGTATTTTGCCAGATTCAAGCTATCTTCTACAGGCTTGCAGGAAAAATGAAGGAAAACAAACCAAAAAAAAACGTTAATTCAGTGATATCTTGTTCGACACAAGGAAATCCTTCAGCCAGTTCGCAACATCCTGCTCATGTTGCTGGCGCCATTGAATGTTTGCCAACACTCTTTCCTCTGCCTGCTGTTGAGCCCGCGCTCCAGAACCGCCAGCGTGTTTTTCGTTGAAGCTTTTCAACTAGAAAGACGAAAGGAAGTATAGACTAAGTATATGACAAGTTCATGACATTTTAACGCTGCTCTTCTTAGCAAGGTATTCATCCAGCTAAATTAACTTTCGTCAATAAAAGAGGAAGTGGCCTTGAAAAAAGTGACCAGTGCACGAACCTTTTTCTTGAAGTACTATATCTCAAACGAGTCACAGTGTTTTATCAAGATGTCAAACACTGAGAAGAGAGTTGAAAATACAACGCTCAGCAGCGGAGTATTTTTGACGAACTTCGAGGAGTTTGATATTAAATGCAGAGGAATATCATCACACTTAAATACGCAACTTATGCAGTTGAACTAAAAAGCCTAAAAAAATCAGGCTTACAGTTACGCCATTCGAGCCATTGACCTCTGAAATTCCGGTTCAGCGGTCTAACCAAGTGAACTAGCAAGTCAACTGGGAGTTGGTCATTAAATTGGTGCGTAGTATAACTGGGGAAGATGAAGACGAAAAAATGAATATATGAATTTCATATATTTCAACTGCGGGATGAAGAAATAAATCCAGAGAAGACATCACGTTGATGAAAAACTGAGTCGAATGTTTGATATTAGTTCTCAAACAAAACAATTTTAGATGGAGAAATCACGGATGCGCAAGTGAGGAGTTTTCATCTGATTCAGTTCTGAACAATGGCTGCGGTCACATCTACGACGTAACTAAAGTTTAACTTAAGATAGTGTCAAGTTACGTGATGTCACACCTAACTGTAGTTAGTGCTTTCGGTCGACATTTGGTCACACCATGCAGTTAACAACAGTTAGTTCTAATTAGCCTATGTAATTTTTTTGTTTGTTGTTTTTGGTTTCCCCTTCGCTTCACGCTTGGGTTTTATTTTACATATTTATATATGCTCATCTCGCACGTGCGAAAAGAAGTGTCACATTCTGATTGGTTGTTTGTTTGTAAATACCGAGGCGTAAATTTTCTAAGTATAGTTAGAACGAACAGAGAAGCGGTCACATTACCGAAATAGCTAACCATAGTTATCCCCGTCTTAACTATAGTTAGTCCAATCATTAAGAAATAGGGAGGGAAAGACGGATAATGGAAGTAATTAAGGGATTTTAATGAAAACTATGTAAGCTTTCAAATAGCCATCATAATCAAACTGGTGGCATCTTTCTGGCTCTTAGATTAAAAAATTGGCTCTTAGATTTAAATAAAAACCGAAAACTAAACTAAATGCAGAGACGAACCTCTATTAAGCGGCCAGTTACCAAAGCCCGACGGATAGATCTATCACGAAAGTGCTGGAAAACACAAGCTCTATTAAGTGACCAGCATGTTCTAAGCGACCACTACCCTTCCCAAAGGGTGGTCGCTTTATAGAGATCTCATTGTATTTTTTTAAAAAAGTCTTTAAGTTAAATATGAATGTTGACTTACATCTTGAAGTTCGAATTCAGTGGACATTCCTCTTGTCACGCTTGAAATTACAGTTCTGATAGCGAAAAATCCTCCACCAAACCTAAGGGTTAATGAAAATCTGTTTAAACAAGATTTAATATCTTGGGTTCTATTTACAATTAGTCGCTTACACATGTCAATATGAACACACATTATAGAAGCCGGATCCTCACACCTGCTTCAGTATCTTAAATGCAGATCTATTTGCCGGCAAAACCGCTTATAAGGCAAACAAAGTAACACAAGAGACACGAATGCTTGGACGTTTGAGGCTGGACATGTATGGCACGACCGTGTAAGATATAAAACTGTAAATAAATATAAATGTATGAAATCAAATGTTTAGATACACAAGGTTGCATTAATCTCTTATAATAGATATCTTGGATGGACCGTAAATAAAGACGCAGCTTGGAAATGCAGTGTTTATTTTTTTAAAAAAATTAAAAGTCGTGCAAAAGTAGAATCTATAAAGAGACACACACTTACTTTTCCAGAATACCGGCCCAGTTAAGTTTAACAAACTGCCACGCTAACTGTCGCCCTAAAGGGTTATACATTGCGACATACGCTATAACTCTTGCAGTGTCCTGCATCTTTATCTTGGTAGGATCAAAGGAATATTGCAGATATCTATAAAAAGAGGAAATTGAAGTTGTGAAATAGTATTTTACAACATATTTGCATCAGGCATAGCTGAAGAGAGATTACACAAGTCAGCTTACAATACATCAATACATCGGATACCAGATGGATAGCAAATCCATGATAGATATACCCGAGAAAATTTTCCCCGAAATGCTTAGCCTAGCTTTGGCCAAGTAGGCACTTTTGGATCTATGAACTAAGGCTTTGATAAGAATAAGAATAAGATTTGTATGGAATCATAAGAGCAAAACGGGGATGCTAGTTCTTGGCAAGTAGACCATTTGGATGTTTTTCTTTCAGAATATTAC